AACACACGTTTTAACCTTTAACATTCCATTTTTGTTTATTTTTTGACTTCCCCAATGCTGTGCTTACCTTTTTTTTTTTTGGGACATTTTGGAAAAAGCAAAAGGAGAGAGAAAATTTTTAAAAGAAACAAAAATGGACAAAAATGCCCTTATTTATTTTTAGATTTCCTAAGGAATCCAATACATTTGCATGTCTTTGATTTGAAAGTTGAGTGGTTTTTTTGTCTTTTTTGAAAAAGCTTTGGCTTTTTCCAAAAGTGAAATTTTTTTTATGTCTAAAACCTAAAAAACCTTTTTTTTTTAATTTATAAAATAAACTTCCATTTTTATTTTTTTAAATTATAAATATTTTAACATGGATCTATATATATACTATAACCCTAATATTATGTTTGAGGATTAATTATTATGCTTAAATGAGAATTAGTACTTGTAATTGATAGATTATTATGATTCAATACGAATTAGTACTACAATTTAGTTGTCTTGTATTATTTATAAATTTTTGTTATTAAAATAAATTAATGTTCAAAAGGCTTACGCCTCAATGTTTCAACGCTTGCGCCTCGCAAAGCACAACTAAAAATGCATCGCCTCTACGCCTCGCCTTTGAAAACAATGCTCCTAGCACATATAGTTTCGTACGTACAACTGAGATTTCCCCAGTTGCCACTAAGGCTGACTTTTGAATTGATATCTTTGTCTAGCTAGAACTTATAGTTTGATACAATATACATCTGAGTGGCCACATATTCTGATATGATCTTGCAATTTCATCGTTTATTGTTGCAGAAGAAAACTTAAATTGGGAGGAAGGAAGTGCTGTTGGGAATGCATATTATAAAAGTGAGCTTCATTTTCTCATTTTCCCACATTGTCTTTCTGTGCGTTTAAGTAGCATTATGCACACCGAGAGCACAAATTGAATTACATTTGGTGTGTCCAAGGATACTTGTCCTGTTTGACTGATCAATTTCGTTCTTTTTTAGAGGTAATCTGCCTTAGCCTTTTGTCTCATTTCCATATTAAGAGTTGATAGAATTTCATTCTACTGTCTTCTTTTTTTTGGGTAGTCAGAAAATGTCTTCTTTTATAGAGACATTGTCCTTGCCAACGGTATACAGACCCTTCAATATCATGATTAATTAACGCTAATTTCATTAAGCTGTTTTGGAATTTGCCAAGAGAGGGAAGATCATGAAATCTTCTTCTCAGGTTAGTGATTGAATGTGATTGGTTTTTTTCATTTAGTCTCGCGGCTATACTATTTCCTTTTTAAAAAAAATTAGAAAAACCGAGTATAGCCGAGTGGCTATACATTAAATAAATTTGAAAAATCGAGTATAGCCGCCCAGCTACACGATTTCTTTTTAAAACAAAATTAGAAAACCCGATTCTAAAGCTTAATTTCAATCCAAGTGCACCCATAAGCAGCTTATAGTCCTCCAGACAGCTTTATAATTTCATTTCATGGTTCTTAGGGCATTCATATGAGTAATCATGATTTTGTTGTGATGTGTGACCATAGCAAACCTAACATATCGAACTTGAACATTGCTAGTGATGTCTGCATAAAGATTCGGATAGATTCATTCAGTAACAAAATTCAGAGCAATAGTGCGTCCCCTGCAAATGCAGAGGAATTAGAAAGATCGAACTTGACTACATTTCTAGTGACACTACAACATTTTACACTTTGCGCGACGAAGAGAATTTCATCGTGCAAAATACATTGTAGTTGCACAAATTTCATCGCGACAGAAACTTCATCGCGCAGAATCCGTCGCGCAAAGATCGTGAAGAAAGACTTTGCGCGATGAACTTTTTTTATTGGTCGCACAAAGTCGCTTTGCGCGACGAACAAATGTTTGTCGAGCAAAGTGACTTTGAGCGACGAAAAAATATTTGTCGCACAAAGTGACTTGAAAAATATTGGTCGCACAAAGCGACTTTGCGCAACAAAAAAATATTTGTCACGAAAAATGATTTTGCGTGACGAAAAATATTGGTCGCACAAAGTTTTGCGTGACGAAAAAATTATAATAAAAAAAAAAATTTCCCGTGCCCCATTTTTTGTACCCGCCCAAATTTTTAGAGTTTTGCACAACGAATATTAATGTTGCGCAAATATTTGCGCGACGAAATATTTTGGTTTTTGACTTTTTGTTTTATTATTTCTTTAATATTAATTTAATTATATTAATTATTTCAAATTTTTATTTTTTAAATTTAATTTAATTGTATGATTTTTTTCGTTACTTTAATTTAAATTGATATTAATTTAATTATATTAATTTTTTTGAATTTTTACTTTTTAAATTTAATTTAATTGTATGATATTTTTTAATTACTTTAATTTAAATTGACATATTCAAAATAAAATTACATATGAAAAATAGTGATCAAATTATCCAATAAATATATATATAATATTCAAAATGTACACATAAATTAACAAAGTACAATAATAAAATCCTAACAAAAAAAAAAAGGGATAATCTCCCATAAAATTGTTATACCACAAATCCAACCCAAACTCCAATCCCTCCCCTTTACTCAACCCCAAACCCCATCCAAACTCAAAACTAACTCCAAAAACACATATTAATGAAAAAAAATTTAAAATTTAGAGAGAATATACTTTTGGCAAGATTGAGAGTGAGTGAGAATGAGAGAGAGAAGTGAGTGTGAGAGAATTAGAGAAGATAGTGATAGAGAGATGAGAGAGTGAGTGAAAGTGAGAGATAATATGGGAATGAACAAAAAGAATACGAGCTATATTGGGGTCTTGCAATTGGAGATTATTAGTGGCAAAAAGAATACGAGCTATATTGGGGTCAAGCTCCATGCAGAATAATATGGGAATGAACAAACTATGTGGACCAGCGAGGATGTCAAATTATCAACAAAAAGATTGAATACAGATGGTAGACTCCTTTTGCATTAGTTGGAGCATTAGTAAAGTACATCATGAAGATATTTGAAAACTCAAATTTCCAAAAAATAAAGTAATGAGTGCCAAAAAAGAAATCTAAAAAATAATAAGAACTGCTACACTAAGAACAAAAAAGGTAGAGCGCCATCAAAGGAAAACATAAAGTAAGTGATAGGGCCACATTACCTTAATTTCAGGATCAAAAGGCAATTTCACAAAATATTAATAAACTAATCAATTCCACATTTGGGCTTATTTGAGGAACCAAGTTGGAGAAGCTACAAAGATTAAAGAAATTTGGGGATATCCGACTAAAATTAAAGCATCAGAAACATAAATAGCGACAAAAAAAAAAGGGTAAACTACAGTAAACTCCCCAACCGTTCGCGAAAACTTACAGATTGCCCCATCTGTTAGCGAATCCGTCAGGAAATCCGTTATGTGCCTACGTGGCGTCTAGCAGGACAATTTTTTAAGGGCATTTTCGGCAGATCAGGTCCCTGGGTTTTGCGCCCAAAACAACACGTGGTTTAGTTTAATTCAAAAAAGAAAAACAGAAAACCCCCAAATCGTGTTCCATATCTAAGCCCCCAAATCGATAGAAGTGGATGCCCAAGTTCCAATTCGAAGAAGACAAAGACGACGATGTCGACGAGGTTGACGATGTTTGCAAATCGAAGATGCGAAGTGGGCCAGCCCATTTGTCATTGCGGCAATCAATGTCTTCTGACAACATCGTGGCAACAACCCTGGGAGAAGATTTTGGGGCTGCGCCAATTATGGGGTCAGAAGAGGTTTTGCATTCTTTGAATGGTATGATCCACAGGTATGCGAAATGTCGAAGATTGTGATATCTGGACTATTGAAACGATTGTGTAATGAAGAAGAGGAAAACCGAAAATTGAAAAAAGAGGTTGGAGCTGCCTTGAAAGCACAAAGATTTCTACGAGCAAGTGTTCTGGGTTCTTGGATTTTTTTGATTGTGTTGTTGGGAATGCTAGTACTAGAATGGAGAGACTCTAGATCTTCCAAGAATGTGCAATTAGCACTTACATTTTAGGGTCTATATCTTAGAAGAGTTGGGTGATGTATTTTGTGGCCATTTGTGGGAAATTTTGGAAAATCAAATGCTTTGTGTATGAAAGGTCTGTTTCTTGTAATTTCCCATGTGAAGTTGTATGAAAGATGTTTATGTATGAACAATTGTGAGGCAAATTGGAAATGCAGAATGTTTATGTATGCACAA